TTATTTGCTGATGGATTTCAAGTGTGTGTAATAATGCTATACATGTAGCAGATACCTAAGAAATATTCTTAAATAAATTAAATATTTTCCCCTAGGCATATCATATCTGTTGCTGCTCTTATTTCTGTTATCAATGTTTTTAAAAAATTAAACTTTCTTTATGTTTGCTGCTGACATATTGAAACACAATTCATACTTAATAGTTATTTTTGTATTCAGAAAAATTTCCAACTGCTGACTCCCATAAATTATCTATAGATTTGTAATTTTTATACAGAAAACCTTGGCATCTCAGCATAATGATAGTTTTTTCTTCTTTTTTCTTCTAATTTTTATAGTTAATTTTTTTTAAACTATACTAACTTTCAGTACAATGTTTCTAGAAGTTGTGATGGCAGGCATCTGGCTTTGTTTCTTGTTTCAGTGGAAATGTTTTCATTGTTCTAATTGATGCTTACAGTTTTCTTTGATGATTTTGGTCTGTTTAATGAATTTTCTTTTAATTCCAAGTTTCCTAAGAACTCCTTGTTTATTGTGAATATATATTCAGCTCTATTAGGTAATTCTGCTGCTATTAAGATATTTAGTAAATTTGTTGTCTTTTGACTTTTTTTTGTGGCAAACTACATTATTGGTTTCCTACTATAAAACCTTGAATCTTTCCCAGAAGATAAACAAACTTGAAGACTGAAGGCAGGAGGAGAAGGGGACGACAGAGGATGAGATGATTGGATGACATCACCAACTCGATGGACAAGAGTTTGAGCAAGCTCCAGGAGTTGGTGATGGATAAGGAAGCCTGGCATGCTGCAGTGCAAAGAGTCAGACACAACTGAGTGACCGAACTGAACTCAACTAAATATCAAATCACCTGGTATGGCTAGGGAAAATTCCACATGGTCATACTGTATTACCTTTTCTACACTTTGCTTGATAAGTTTGCTATCATTTCATTGAGATATTTTGCATCTATTTTTATGACAGAGATTGTCCTGTACTTTTCCTTTCTCATACCTATCATGTTTTGGAATCAACTAAATATTCTTATGAAAGGGACTGGAGAGTACTTCTCCCCTTGCCCCCATACATTTGAATAGTTTTATGATTAGAATAGTCTATATTTTCAATGTTTGTAAAATCTCAATGTAGAAACTATTTTGGCTTGTAATTTTCTTGTGTGAAGTTTTTATACTTTTCACTAACTCCTTTTCTGTCCATAATTATTCAGGTTTGCTATTTCTTCTTGAGTGAGCTTTGGTAGGTTAAGTTTTTAGATATTCAGTTTACCCAAGCTTTCAAATTCATCTATATAAAATTCATAATATCATTTTATTGACATCTTAATATTTGTGGTATTTGTAGGTTAGTATTATTTTTATTACTAGCATTGCTTATAATTTATCTTTTATTTCTGGCTAATTTTACCTAAAGCTTGTCAATTTTCTGCCTTCCCAAAGAACCAGTTTTTGACGTTGTTGAGTTTTACTAGTGTATAGTTGTTTTCTATGTTACTTACATCTGCCACCATCTGTGAAATGGAATATCTCTGGCCATATCAATCAACCAGAAATGTCATAGCCATCAGCGATTTCAGGGCTCCAAATGTGAATGAGTTCCCAAAAGAGAAAACAATGCCTGTGATCCAGCAGATTCCCCATCCCCACGGTGACTGCTGAGGAGCTGGGGAATGCAAGAAGCAGCCATCTGCTTCTTCTTGAACAGGAATGAATGGAGGATGTAAACAATTAGGAAATAGGATATGGCCCCAGATAGCAGAGGTGCATGTGAAAGGAATGAATTCAGTGAGTCCAGAGGCTTGCATCTTCCCATACACCAAAGAACGCTAAATTCCTTAGCTAGGTATCTGGTTTTCCTTACTAACAATAGTCTTTGATGTTCAGACTGCCTGCCCACTTTGTTGCAAACTTGTATATAGCCTGACTTCCTTTCCTGCCTGTAGGAGCAGTTTTCTCAGGGCTACTGAGATGCTGGCCCCTGGGTGCAGAGTCCTTAATATACCCACCAAATAAAACAACTCTCTTATTTACAGGTTGTGACCAATATTTTTTAGTCGACTTATCCATATTATTTTTTTCCTTCTACTGATTTTGGATATTTTATTGTCTTCCTTTATTTTTAAAGTTGAATGGTTGACTCAGTTTTTAGCTTTTCTTTTTTTGTAAAATGAACATTTAAAACAGTAAGTTGTTAATAGCTGCTGCTCACAAACTTTTGACATGTAGCACTTCCATTACTGCACTGTTGTAAATAAATTGTACTTTTCATCATGAATTTTTCTTTGGCTCAAGTGTTATTTAGAATTATGTTGCCTAATTTCAAAACAAATGAGACCATTTTGTTTTATTCAGAGGGCAATGTTTATACTCTCTTAATTAAATTGAGGTCTATAAAAGTGTGATCTTTTTGATACCAATCATTGAATGTTTTTGAGATCTGCTTTATGCTTCAGCATGTGATCAATATTTGTATATGTCCCATATATGCTTAAGAAGAATGTGATTTCTGTAGAGTTCTATATATACGTTCATCAAAATAAGCTTGTTATTGTTAATTGCATTCATTTTTTCTTCTTAGCTGTTTACAAGTAATAAATATGTGTTAAAATCTTTAATAGTGTACTCATATTGCTAAATTCTCCTGAAATTCTTAAAATTTTTCTTTCATATATTTGATAGGTGTATATAATGTAAAATGTTTACTTCCCATTGAATTCAATTTCTTATCCTGAAATAGTGATGAGACAATTCTACTAAGAAACATGAGACTCTCTGGTTCACTTAAGTCAGCTTCATGACATTGTGTCTAGTTGGGGAGTCGTGGCTTTCTTTTCCTTTCTTGCTCATAGGAGGGCAGTATGAATGACTTTTATTTTTAATGGATCTTTGACAGGTTTCCACATCTCATGGCTTTAGGGTATTTTGGAAGCTCTGCTCTGATGGTAGCACACTTCTTATGAACAGCAGCGGAATAGAGACAGGAGATAGATGGACTCCAGGCTAGGCATTTACAAGTGGCCTCCTGTTCACACCTCCTGAGGTGAGAAGATGAGCTCCAGGTCGGACATTCATTACCAGCCCCTTGTTTATATTTCCTGAAGCAAGAGACAAACAGGCTCCAGGACTACATATTTATGACTGGACTCCTGTCTATATTTTGGGATCTACACGTTAATATAAAAACCAGCCACAGGAATAGGGTAAATAGCTGGACACTGGACATTTTTATGTCAAGGATAGAATAAAACTAAACCCTGTTAAAAGGGCAGGATGTTGTATATTTCCCACCCTTGTGGCAAGGGAGACATTTCATATGCATAGAAAGACTCCTTGGGGGACCAAAGGAGGTAGTACCATCCCATAATATGTGATGATAATATTCCATAGGCCTCTGGGCTGGAATCCATCTTAGAAAAAACTTGCTCAGGCATGTCAGGGAGGGTCTTAGGGTAGGTCAGCTGTGGAAAAAGAAATCAGATAATTAGTTAGAGATAAACAAAAATCCAGAAAAAGCTGGCCCATGTAAATAACTGCATCTTCACTGCACTCCTCCTCACTAGGAGGGGTGCTCACATTCTTCCTCTCTGGGTGTGCATCTCTGTCTTGCTTCTACATTAAACAAACCACTTCTCTGGGGGCTCTACCACTCGTTGTTGTGTGATGTCTCTAATAATAAACTTTGTACTTGCAGGAACAGTTTTTGCTTCTGGGATAAATGCAGTTTTTGCTGGGGGCAAAGAAAAGTAGCTTCTAGCCTCTAGTCTTTGCTGTCTGGTAGCAAGGATTCCTGTTTTTCATACAGGCTTCCCAGATCCAATGCTTAGGCAGGGAGTTAGGACCTCACTTCATGTCACCACTCACTGCTGCCTCGCACCAAGATCAGAATTGTTTCAGAATTCTAAAAATTATAAATTTTTAAATTATAAATTAAAAATTATAATTTTTCCCAATAAGGGGCTGGTAAATATGGGCATTTTTCCAGTGTCATTTCCACCATTTCAATGTCCTTAGTTTGTTTGTTAGGTTATTTAAGGGTATCTTATATGAAGAGGGTAATGGATTAATATCCTCTTATGGCATCCAGGATATAAAAAATATATGTGGGAGTAATTTTTTAAAATGAGATGTACTTTCATATTAGAACACACACCAATTGGCACCTCTGTTTTCTCTGAAATTATCCTCCTTCAGCAGAGACCCCAATGCTGTGTGTGTACCATGTGACATCCCTGTCACATCAAATCACTCCCCTGCCCATCAAAGAGTGGAGGTTGTGGGCTCTTGAACCATGCATTGTGAAAAAAATTTGGAATATGGATTCAAAAGCATGAGGCTTGATCTTGTGAGCTGGAAAGACACAAAAACATGGGAAATGGGGATGACATTCTGGTTCAGCCATCTTCTGCCATGAATACAGAGCAAGTCATCGAGATGGAAAGAAGAGAGAAGTTGAATTTGAGAGAAGCAGAGAAGAACTATACGTGGTCTCCTCCTCCTTTTCTTTCTCTAAGAGTAATTTTAGATAGTCTAATATCTTTGCAATACCCTTCCCCCTCTTTTGGCTTATGCTATGTTGAGTGGATTTCTGGTGATCTGAAATGTTACTATGAACGTCAACTATAGGGCAGTCTTCAGAGCAGTTGGATGGTCTTGGAACTATTCCCAGAGCTGTGGTTAGTAGTGTCTGAAGCAGCTGAAGGGGCTCTTTATAAGGGACAGGTTCTGAATATAGGCTAATATTTGGGTCTAATGCACTTCGACAACTCAATGCCACCATACAGCACTTTTGACCCTGTGTTTTCCAAATAGAAATACTAAAGAATTTAGTATAAAGTGAACTCAGTACTAAATAGGTTTATTGACATTTAAGGAAACCAAACAGGACTAGGAGAGAATATTTCAGAATGATATGATAAACACCATTAGAACCCACATTTTTCTGAATAGAAAATTCTGATGACTAAACCCACAGGAACTTTTTTTTTAGTTCTCCATTGCTTCTTCACATAAGGAAATGTTCAGAATCCAGAGTATGTCAACCTTGATGCACTTTTCTGGGTACAGAATCAGGTTTGCTCCTGATAAAAAAAGAGGAAAGCACTATCAATGACTTTTCAACAACCTGTTTTTAGGGGGATGGTGGTGAAGAATGTTGCACAGTTTTCAAACCAACTCTGAAATAATTTCAAGATTTAGCTAGCTAGCCATAAATCAACCAATTAAGAGATCTAAAAAGTTGGTGTTTCATTCGATTCCTGAGTGGACACTCTGTTTCTGTGTAAGTTATTATTTGAATGCTCAGAATTGGTGATTGTTTGAGCTGTAAAAAAACCAACAGATTCTATCAGCATTCTCCTTGCATTTAGTGATTTATGAGTTTCTTGAGTTTACTCTAGATTCACCCACGAAAGGAAATATTTCAGAATGGTTAAAAATCACAGAATCCAGAGCCAAAATACTTAGGAAAGACCCAGGCAAGGAGTTTGTGTCCTCTTTCTGTGCCTGTTTCCTCATCGGAAAGTAAGAATAACAATAAAGTCTATCACATAAGACTGGGATCACAAGTAAATGAGCTAACTCAAGTAAAGCCCATTGAATGGTGCATGGCACAGAGCAAGCACTACATAAGTGTTAGCTTTGATCACCACCTCCTGAGTAATTTGTGTCCTCCGTGGACATGCCTGAAAACAGTCTGACAATCCTACCAGCATGAACTCAGAATGCACAGTAGGAGGGTTCCTCACCCTGAATCTCTTCAGCCATGTATGTTGGAATCCCCTTGCACATGGTAACAATGGATTTTCCAAACTGGTCCAGGTTGTTGACTTTGTCAGGCTTGACTGAGTAGATCAGGCTTTTGGGAGGTAGTCCCTCTGGTCCTCTACCCTGAAGCTGAGTGTGGGGAAGACAGGTGGCAAGGAGGAGAGAGAAGGAGTGTTAAACCCAGTGGTTTGTTGAATTGGGGGTTGTATACAAGGCCAAGTAGAGACATTGCTTTGCCAACAAAGTCCGAATAGTCAAGACTGTGGTTTTTACAGTCACTGTGTATGGATGTGAGAGTTGGACCGTAAAGAAGGCTGAGTGCCGAAGAATTGATGCTTTTGAACTGTGGTGTTGGAGAAGACTCTTGAGAGTCCCTTGAGGGATATCACAAGGAGATCACACCAGACCATCCTAAAGGAAATCAACCCTGACTATTCATTGGAAGGACTGAGGCTGAAGATGAAGCTCAAGCTCCAATACTTTGGCCATCTGATGCCACCTGAGCTGACTCATTGGAAAAGACTCACCTGATGGTGGGAAAGGTTGAGAGCAAGAGGAGAAGGGGACAACAGAGGATGAGATGGCTGGATGGCACTACTGACTCAATGGGCACGAGTTTGAGCAAACTCCAGGAGATAGTGAAGAACAGGGAAGCCTGGCGTGTTGCAGTTCATGGGGTCACAAAGAGTAGGACAACTGAGGGACTGAACAATAGCAAGGCTGACAGGGCATATTTCTTGGCTATAATTTTTCCAAAATCAAAATGAAGAAGAACCAATTACAACCCTGTATACCTCAGCACTTTGAAATGTCCTAAGGGATTTAGCTGATTCAAAACCTCAGCTTTTCATAACAGCGTTGTCAGGGTAAATTTACACTGAAGGTTGTAGCTCGTTTGGTCATCTTATATTCCTTGGATTTAGCTATATGATATTCAGTCTCTGAAAATGCAGTTTGTTTTCTTTACACAATCAATGAAAGATACCCACTTATCAGTTATACAAATATAAACTCAGGCTGACATTTTAGCGATAGTTCTCCTCTCCCTGCCCACCGCTCCTAGGGTTACCAGATAAAATACAGGACACCCAGTTAAATTTTGATTTCAGGTAAACAACAGATCATTTGTAAGCATGTCCCAAATATTGCATGGGACATAGTTAGGAAAAAAAAATTATCCACTGTTTATCTGAAATTCAAACCTAACTGAGTATCCTCTATTTTTGTTTGTTAAATCCAATAACCCTAACCCAAATCTTCCGGGAAAATGTCCTTGAAGTGTGGAGGACTCCCCTTGATGTGAACAGAGCTTTGTTCCCCTATTAGTAAGAGTGAGGTGTTCTGATCAGACTCCAGAGGGGCAGGTTTGAGTGTGATGGCAGTTGCCTCTTGTCAGGCAGTTCCAATTCCTCTTCCCCTTTTGTACTGCACATGACAATGTACTATGTGGTCAAGAGGAAGCAACTGTGACCTTCTCATGGTTTATTGGAAATCATAAGACCCCCCTGCCTCCCCACCCCCGATCAAAGAATAAAATGACTTTTGCTTTTACCTTGTCTTTCTTGGCCAGCATATCAAGGGCTTGAATAGAGGGCATGACTTCCTTGTTCATTTTGTGCACAATGCACGATTTCTTCTTAAAGGATCTGATTACAGCAAAGCCCTATTAAAGAAGATGGTGGGTGGTAAACAGTATGTTCTCCAAGGTGTCTTTCTCATCAGAAATTAGTTTCACCAGCAGAGGGAAATGGAATTGTGAGATCACAATGGACTGAAATAAGAGTGCTGGATCTGGCCCTGTTTTGCAATCATATTTATTGCTGACATTTGGAAGCATAGATCACAAACTCTTTGAGGGAGAGGCTGTTGAATTCACTTCAGACTCTAGCCCAGCAAGAGTCTCCCTACATGTTTGTTTTGCTGAAATAAATTTTTAAATACTTTCTTATTTTAATCTCCTTTGATCTTCACAACATTTCAAGGAGGCTAGCAGGATAGTTGGAGAAGGCAATGGCAACCCACTCCAGTACTTTAGCCTGGAAGATCCCATGGATGGAGGAGCCTGGTAGGCTGCAGTGCATGGGGTTGCAAAGGGTCGAGCACAACCGAGCACCTTCACTTTCACTTTTCACTTGCACGCATTGGAGAAGGAAATGGCAACCCACTGCAGTGTTTTTGCCTGGAGAATCCCAGGAATGGTGGAGCCTGGTGGGCTGTCTATGGGGTCACACAGAGTCGGACACAACTTAAGTGACTTAGTAGCAGCAGCAGCAGTAGCAGGATAGTAATTAGTTTTATAATTGACCAGATGATAAAACTGAAACTACAAAGAGTTGCCTTTTCTAAAAGACAAATTTTATTAAATACAGAGCTGATAATTGCAGAGTTAGGTTTTCTAACTAGAGCCAAGTGGGTATTATTTTTTTGTTGTATTTTTAGCTGCCCCTACATTTAATTAATATTGTCACTTACATTTACTTTGGTCCTTTTGAATTATAAATGAAATGCCAATTTCTATCTTTTTAGGAAATTGACAGTAGAATGATATGGATTATGGTTTGGCAACAGTAATATTATGAAGGTCTTTCATCTTTATTGAGGGTTTCTGCAGGTAAGGCCAAAGGATGTTGCACTTGTTTTATAGCCTCATACCATTCACTGGATTCTAATTAACATACACTGACTTGAATTTTAACTTACTATGAGAAACTTATTGACAGCAATTTTATCTAGGAAGGTAAGCTGAGTAAGCAAAAGAGACATTTTTACTTATAACTCTCTTCTTATGTGCAATTAGAATTTACATAATTTTTTATTTTTTTATGGTTAGCAGGCAGTTTTCATTATTGTTTAAAAAGGAATGCCATGTTTGCAAAGAACTGAAATTGCATGTTGACTACCTACACTTTCGTAATCCCAGAGGGAATTCCAGGAACCCCATCCGTTGTTATTGTCAATATTGGCCACGCCATGTTCATTGTTGACACTCACTGACTGCTGCCCACTTCCACCACTGTTGTTGTTATCATTGACATTGATATCCTGAAATTTACAAGAAATTGACAATGATTTAATACCACTTTTCTTTTTTGCAAATGCATTTTGGTAACACACTTTAAAAAATAAAACTTACATAGCCAGCAAGAGTAGGAGTCAGGAAGATGCCAAGAAGTCCAGCAAAGACAATCTGAAATCACAGATAACATTGGTTTACTGTTAAATGGCAAAACGATGTCCTCATCGTCTTTTTCTAGATAAACTTATAAAAATGCTTACTAAATTTGTTGAGTGATCTGTCTTTTCTTCTTTGATCTTCAATTTTTTTAAACCGTAGAAAATTCAATGATAATGTTGAATTTTAGGTTAATTATAGATAATTATGTTGATTGTTTTAGAATTTTTAATGTGGGTCTTACGAAAAACTGAAGAAGTGTAAGTATATTGAAAAATAGCGTTGACCTGAATAATAGCATACATGGCATGAAAATGGTTTTAATTTCTGAGAAGCAGACCTGAAACTGAATTAAGATAACTCTCTTAATGTGGTCTAGAAATCAAATAGGACTAATTTCCAGATTAAATTATTGACCTGAATGCTTTCTCTTCTTCCAAGACCTCCTAATCTCAGAAGCAGTCTTTTTATTAAAAAAAAATTTTATTTATTGTGGTAAAAGTCACACAATATAAAACATACTATTTTAACCATATTTAACTGTATAGTTCAGTGACACTAAGTACATTCATACTATTGTCCCTATTTCCCCTTCCCATCCCACCCCAGGCCCCTGGCATCTATCAATGTACTTTTTGACTCTATAAATTTAACTATTCTAGGTATCTCGTGTGAGTGAAATCAAATAGTATTTGTCTGCATTTACTGCATATACATATATTCAAAGCAATGGATTAGTAACCAGGTTGGATATGAATGATGAGAGGCCAAAGATGGAGTATCTGGCTATAAAGTGTACTTAGTAGAAGGGAAGTCAATCACTGTCCCAGGACACCTGGGATAACATAGTTGTCATTGAGTACATGATACTGGTTCTCAGAACACAGAGCTTTATACAGGATGCACAATTCTGGGTCCCTATGTTCATTTTCTTTGCCTGGAACAAAATGGTTTGAGACCTGCACTAGTGATTCAAGATAATTAAAAAAAAAAATGTTTGATGTATCCCCTGATAGTTTAAAAAGGAGGATGAAAAAAATCAGAGGTGGAAGAAATTTTAAAGATCTATTAGTACAACATAATTCTTCAGAGATGAGAAAATGGAGCTTCAGAAGTTGAGTGACTTGGCCAAGGGTGTACCTTTTGTTCATACCACAACTGCAAGAGAAATCAGATCTAACCTGTCTCTGAAGCTCTTTTTTTTTTCTTAACCTTCCTATCATTAGCACTTATTTCCAGAAAACTATTTCACACTTGCAACTCCATTATGAAGCAGAATCTACTGTCATATATTTTAATGTTTACTATGTCAAAATATTAATGTTTATTCACCTTACTCTAGCCCTTTTGCATCCTGTTATGAGACAGACAGCATCACCGGTTGCTTTGGCAGAATTTTGCTGTCCATTTGCTACTCTCTCAGCCTTTTACATGAAACAAATGAGCTGATGAACTAGCTTCATGCTACTAGTGTTTTCATGACTATAAGACTATAGACAGGGTTCAAGGCAAAACTTTTTACTTAAAGATCCATTTCACAGGAGGGAATGTGACAGTAAGTCTCTCACTAATTTGTTTTGAAAATAAGCTTTTTATCTTGCCTGAACCTGCTCAGTAGTTTTTTTTGTCAAAAACGGAATTCAAGAATGTAATGAAAAATCAGACATTTCCTACAGAGTTAGCAACTGCTTGCTCTGTGCCCAGATCTGAATCAACAGATCCAGAAAGCAATTTTTTTTTTAAAGATAGCATCGTATAAGATGCTCGGGCAGCTGACTAATCCCAGTATAATTATCCTTCTCTATGGAGATGTTTATAAATGCCATGATTCCATAAAAAAGGATTATTCTTATTTTCACAAATTTTTCCATGACAGTGATATTATAATAAGAAGCATACCCCCACTTAGCTGAGAATATTAGCAGTCTCCAACTATAAGGTAATAAATTCAAAAGTAACAATCTACTCACTGTGAACTTCATCTTAATTGCACCAAAGCAATGAAGCTGAGATGACAGGTGTGCATTCAGATAAAAAGTGTTCTCATATTTGTACTTGACCAGCTTTACTCAAGCTAGGTGTGAACAGGTGGGGCCTAAGACTTATCTTTCTCCATTTTCCATATCTGTGCCACATTCCGGCATACCAGGAAGCCTTTTGGAATATCCGCCTGGTTGGCAAGGCATTTTGACATGGAGCTGATCTGACTCACCTTATGTTGAAGTTGAAGATATCAAAATGAGCAGTATGATTGATGGCAACTGCTGGTCCAATTGAAGCCGTGGCTGTGGGTATTTTATACATTGATATTACTGAGATTTAGGAAAAGAATCTTCCCTAAAATCAAACAAGATAAGAAACTATGGACCTCTTCCTGTTAGAACGTGGCATGTCTTCCTCTTCGTACCTTCAACTGAGCCACTGTGATGTTTTTGCTTAGGCTAAGCTGTTCTATTAGGGCTTCCCAAGTGGCGCAGTGGTAGAGAATCTGTCTGTCAATGCAGCAGACACAGGAGATGCGGGTTGGATTCCTGGGTCAGAAAGATCCTCTGGAGGCGGAAATAGTAACCCACTCCACTATTCTTGCCTGGGAAATCCCATGGATGGAGGAGCCTGGTGGGCTACAATCCATGGGGTTACAAAGAGTTGGTCACAACTGAGCATGCAGGCATGCAAACATATTCTGTTAGCTACTCCCACCAAACCTATATCTTCCTCTGCAATCCTGAACTCTCTCAGTGACAGAAGCACACATCTGGTTAGAAAACTAAGGACTCTCTGTGACTCTCCCCACCACATACAGTTAGTTACTAACCCTTGTCATTTCATCTTAGAATTGACTCTAAACCCTAGCTTTGTCCACAGCTTTGTTCACCTGGACTTTTACAACAGTGATGTAATTGATAGCTCTGGTTATCAGTCTCATATTCCAGGGCATTTTCTCCATTTTCCCTAAGGCTGTTTTTCTAAAGTATTTAAGTAAACTGACTCTACTGTGCTTTGAAATTTTCACTGACAACCTACAAGATAAACTTCAAGCTCACAGGAATGGCACAGAGGGCCATTTTTTATAAGATTTCCTAAGCCTCTCCAGCTGTATCTGTCACTCTATGCTAAAAATCTGTATTTGAGCTATACCAGGGTTCTCACTCTAGTGGGAACATTCAGGATGGTTTATGCCTCTTTGCCTTCATACATGCTGTTCCTTCACCCTGGAGTGCCAACCTTGCCTTTATCTCTAGCTGGTAATCGTTATTCATTTTCCAGGCCCAGCTCAAATATCACTGCCTCCATCATGGCTTCTCCATATCCTGGGGCTAAATCTTTTTCCCTGGAGCTCTAAAAGGAATCCTTGTCCTTTGACTTGCTTTTAGATAATTAAATTTTCAGAAATGATGCTAACATAATCTTTTTCTGATGTTTTCATCAGAAGCAGAGAGTAGATATTGTCACTTGGGCAAACAAGAAAAATGCTCAAAACAATCTTGGAGGTGAATTAAAGTCTCAATTTTTTTTCCTGCTCTCTCTTACAAACGGAAGTTAGTAAATTAAATTACTGAAGAGAAAAACTATACCTCATGAATCACTGATCTATAAATTTCCCCTTGGGAAGCCTTCCTGAGCCCATAGCTATCCTTCTATGTATGGATTGCAATCACAGTACTGGGTTATGTGGTTATAAAGCTTGATCACTATCTATATCTCTTTCAGAATGTTGGTTTGAGTGGTTTAGTGTAGCTGTGGTAAGATTTTGTTTATGGTTTTAATATGTTCACTCATCTTTACCAAACTTACTCTTTAACTGCAGAAGATCGAGAAGCCTGGGATAGAGGCAGGCATCTGTGAAGAGGTCTTCGTCTTCTTCACGTTGCTGCCATGTGACTTCAAAGTCAGAGGGGACAGCATGGTGTCTGCACACTCAGCCATGTGTAGTCACGTTGGCACATCGCTGCAGAACCTAGGATACGTTTTAAGTGTCATATCTAATGAAGGATTGGAGGTTGACATATTTTCCTCTGGGCCTATGGAATGCTGGTCTGGAAGATGCTCCACAATGAGTAAATAGTTAACGAGCTAACTAGAGTTCAGGGTTCAATAATCTCCCTCTTAAGAACTGACAACTCACATTTACCTATCAAATGTGCTGAGGAATTTGTAGAGGAGAAATCGATGTCGTGTTGTTTCATCCAGATTCTCCTAAACTTAACTGACCACAGAACCTGGTTTTCCTTTTTTCTTTTATTGATTTATTTTTCCTAATATCTATTAACATTCCTGGGAGGCAACTTCCTCAGGGAGACAACAATTGTGCTGCCTACGAGGATGCATCTTGGATTTGACAATAATTCCTCCTTTATATAACATTGTATTTCAGTGGCCTCAAAAGTCAGAAGAACGTCTTCCTCTGTGCTTTGTGTGTGCTGTGCTGTGCTTCATCACTCAGTCATGTCGAACGTTTTCTGACTGCACGGATTGTAGCCCACCAGGCTCCTCTGTCCACGGAATTCTCCAGGCAAGAATACTGCAGTGGGTTGCCAAGCCCTCCTCCAGGGGATCTTCCCAACCCAGGGATCGAACCCAGGTCTTCCACATTGCAGGTGGATTCTTTACTGTCTGGGCCACCAGGGAAGTCCATGAATACTGGAGTGGGTAGCCTATCCTTTCTCCAGAGGGTCTTCCCAATCCAGAAATAGAGCTGGGGTCTCCTGCATTGCAGGTGGATTCTTACCAGCTGAGCTACCAGGGAAGCCCATACTTTGTGTGAAAGTGAAAGGTGCTCAGCAGTGTCCAACTCTTTGCAACTCCATGGACTATACAGTCCATGGAATTCTCCAGGCCAGAATACTGGAGTTGGGTAGCTGTTCCCTTTTCCAGGGGGTCTTCCTGACCCAGGAATCGAACTGGGGTCTCCTGCATTGCAGGCAGATTCTTTACCAACTGAGCTATCAGTGTAGTATGTATGAAATATACTCACCTCACCCCACACCCTATATGTGTGTGGGGAGGGGTCAACCCTGACCTCAACACTAGTCTCATTCAAAAGTCTTAAGGAATTGGGAATTCCCTGGCAGTCCAGTGGTTAGCACTCTGCACCCTCACTACTGAGGACCCAGGTCCAATTCCTGGTAGGGGAACTGAGATCCTACAAGCCATGTGCATGAGCAAGTCTCTTGCTCCCTTCCATTCTTCCATTTTATATGTTTCTTATCTTCCATTGAGAGAAAAACAGGTGTTTTTGTCACCTCCATAGAACTTAGAATATATATGGCACATATATGATGCTCCATAGGCCCATTTTGGGCTTCCCTTGTGGCTCACCTGGTAAATAATCTGCCTGCAATGGGGTAAACCTGGGTTCGACCCCTGGGTTGGGAAGATCCCCTGGAGAAGGGATAAGCTACCCACTCTAGTATTCTGGCCTGGAGAATTCCATGGACTATATCCATGGGGTCGCAAAGAGTTGGACATGACTGAGAGACTTTCACTTTCAGGCCCATTTTAAAATTTAGAATTAGAAAAAGGAGAGGCTTCCCTGGTGGCTCACAGTAAAGAATCTACCTGCAGTGCAAGAGACCCAAGTTCAATCCCTGGGTCAGGAAGATCCCCTGGAGAAGGAGATGGCAACTGACTCCAGTATTCTTGCCTGGAGAATTCCATGGACAGTCCACGGGGTCACAAAGAGTCAATCACAATTGAGCGACCAACATACACTGAAAGGAGATGCTCAAGCTGGAAGATAAACTATGCACAATATTTATTCATTTCTGATTTTTGGAGCCAGCTAGATAGGTGCTGCCTTGCACTGGCTATGGTAACACAACAAGGGAGTCTCAGGAGATGGTGTGACCCCAGTGCCCAAGGTCAGTGTGGGGCAAACCAGCCCCTGCGTAAATAAAGCCTCCTCTGCCCACAGAGCTCAATGCTGGGCCATGGAAAGAACAAGGCCCTGTTTTATCTCACAGCACACACACCCAGGACCTCACGTCACCCCACACCCTGTATGTCCAGCTGGGTGTAAGCTCTCTTTGTGTGGATCAAACAGGGGTGCGATATGACTGCGATATGGTCAGACCACAGATACGGAGGAAATTTCAGAGCTGTTCTGCATAAATCAAACTTCTATTTCCCTTCTCTCTCTCTCAGTGAAAGGGATGTTTACTTACAGGGCAATTTTTCATCGTTAAATATCCTCATTCAAGATTCCTTCTCTGGTGTAGGTACGTAGAGGGGCTACCCTCAACACCTAGGAAGCCTGAAGGAATCTCATCCTCCATTTTCTTCTCCCCCATTTTCTGATATTTAGGACTCAGCTGGCCTTTAACCCCTGTGACTTCACACTATACTGTCTTTGCTGGAGGGGGGAATCCCCTTCATGCTGAGATGCTGTCTCAGTCTCTCTGCCTCTGTTGTCTTGCTGAACACCAGACTGTGATGGTCCCACATCGGATGGTTCACTGTGAAATCTGAGCACCTTTGTCACTTGGAGGTGGGGACTGGAGGGGACTTCTGCCCCCATCCCACAATCTTGCTTTACCAGTTTGCATCTAAGACTCTAATAACAGTCCCTGTGATTACAGCTCCCAGGGCTTTTAGCCATGATGTACTCCTATTGAATCTTCCATATATATTTCTGGCCAGGAATGACACATCTGAAAAAATAGCAATAGGAACATGTAGAATAGCATGTTAATAATTATTGCTAGAAAGCTTCCAATTCCAGAAAATCCATCCTTATTACATAGTTGTTTTTTTGTATAGGAGAGAAATTCTTTTCAAATTACAGCAACGTGGAGGAAGCTGTTTCTTATGGCATCACAGATTCTTCTCTTTTTGTTATTTCCTCAAGGACCATTGCCTGCCAAAATCTATATAATGCTGACTTTCTGTTGCTGCCTGTATGTCTGTCCAATCACATCTGCCAAACCTCTGAAACCCCTCAGAGACAACCTGTGATACATTATGACTCCAACCCATCGCTAAC